TATGTAAATAAATTTAACACGACTTGTACTGCTTATCTGAGTGAAAGGCGAGATGCGGGTTTTTCCTTTCTTTATTTACACTTTCAAATATGACCGCTTAACAAAATTGCACGGGCTCACTGGCTTACAACCTTGGCGAATTCATATGCAGGCCTGGTCGCAAATCAATCACCCAGTTATCAGTGACAGCAATATAAACTTCATACGTAGCAAGTAAGTTGCACTGCATGTCAGTATTGACAGATACAATAAACAAAATGAAAAAATACTGCACAGCAAATCACAACTACCACAAATCCATTCTCTAAATGTGTACCAAGTTGTGTGTGATAAACCACTATTTTTGTTTTTGTTGATTAATGCTGTTGTGATTGTGCATTTCTTTATCTGATCTCCATACCTATTTGACAAAAGTCTACAGTTGGTCCTTCCATAGTTAATCTTCATTTAAATCTGTAATTCTTCCCCTTGTTCCACTCTTCAACTTGTCAGATATATTATACAACACCATTACTTACTTCTCAGCAGAGTGCAAAGTTTTCTTGTAAAAGTAACCTTTCTCAAAATAGAATCTGGCAATGTGTCAGGCTGCTTTAATCATAGTTATATTAACTATGCACAGACGTAAGAATGTCTCCGGCCATTTTTGCTCGAATTTACGCAAGTAATCCGTAAGATGCTGATGTCACCAAAGCCGAACCTTCGTCGACATCTACAAAAGCCTTTCGTTTCACTTTCGTACTTTGCGACAGCTCTCGAAACCATCCGAAGCCTTCGCGAATGTAAAAACCCGAGCGTGTCCCATCTACCTGGGGCACACATCGGTCCATGGCGAGCCAAATGCTTCATTATCATTTTCTTCTCGAAAAACAAATCCCAAAGACCCAAACTCCTGAAGTAGTTGGAAAATCATACACATCATTATTGTAGGTAAAATTGTCATTTACTGTTATCGTTGGAGAGATAGTGGCAAAATAAGATTTGTCACGTGACCAGTGTTTCATACCTTGTCACAGATTAGTAAGTACTCGCGAGGCGCGGGATCGTGACGTAACACCACAGGTAATCCGCATTTTTGCTAAGAGCGTGCGCCGATACATATACATAATAAAAGCGGATAAAAGCGTACGCATTCGTTCTTTTTTGTCTCTAATGTAATAGTTGGGCGGCCTATGGTTAAGGCGCTGGAATATAAGGCGATGTATGGGGAAATCGATTCAGCGGGACTACAGGAATATGAATTTAGTTTGCATAGCTAATTACAGAAAAAAGCATAGGAAGACCGTGATGACGAAAAATAGATATYACCTCATAGTTACTATAGCAACAAGGGCAGTTTACAGGAAAGTGAGTGAGTGACTGAGTGAGTAACAGATCGTCCATCTACAATAACTCTTCGATTGCTAACGCAATCTCCGAGTTAAAAATGTCCCATGCACAATAAAAGAATTCAAGAGTTGGTATAGTTGTTTGTTAAACGCAGAGAAAGTATCGGGATCGACTAGAACTTGTGTCTAATGTAGGTTTTATGACAAATCGATATTATTAGTTCATATATGATTTTCAGAGGATATTTGATCACTACACCCTGGGTGTATCGAACTGGGACTGTACAGCGGTTGAACGTCCATCTCCATGGTAACAATATGACGTGGAAAGTGACAGCATCTTTGAAGACTCCTAGTGGCAACAAGAGTATTTCTGTTGCAACTAAAACAGTTCCTGGCAATTCCTATTCTACAATTGATATAAAGGTATGTTATCCTGTGATTCGGATTCTAATCGCGTTCACCTTCAAAATACCTATGACCCCTGACACATTAATTTCCGATTCTCTGTGAACTGACTATGGACCCATAACGTCGTTATCACTATAGCATATTGTATGATTGAATTTCCATAACTCAAGAGCTAACACTGAAATTTCACCATTTGATTATTTAGTTTATATAAAATCAGTTCAAGGAGAATCAGAAATTATTGTGTCAAGCAACATGGAATTTTCGCAGAGATTTTTCATGAAATTTCATTTTTTCACAAGGTTCCACAAAATGTAACTGTCAAAGATAACACCAATATCAAGCTACATGTTCACGGTGTTTCAGAAGACGGCAAACATCAATTCAAGAAAGAACAACAGTTGTTWCTCGAGAAAACAGAAAATAAAGAAACGTTCTTCATTCAGACAGACAAATCCTCCTACAATCCAGGACAAACAGGCAAGTGGTATCCCTTGGTTGTCAGAAGTAAATGCAACCAATCTTAACTTAYCAATCAGCAACAAGACGATATGATATCGCATGTCTATACACGAAGGTCTTAACGCGTTGTTTTATAATTCTAGTTCGAATAAGAGTAATTGGAGTAAAACATGATTTAAAACCGTTGGAAGGAAAGGTCAGTAATATCATTAATATTATCAATAGTACCTGTGAGTTATATTCCAGAAGTTGCGAATGTCTACAGCGCATTTAGGCATTAATGTATTTGTGAATTAATTTTATAAAATTTGGTGTTAATTCATAATCAAGGGTCGGGCTGCCTGTGGTTTGTCCCACTATTTTTGTTGTCTCGCTCTGCCGCTGGCAAAAGTGGCTTCAATTTTCACCAATAAGTTTCGTTATTTTTCAGGTCAAGCGAGTCTTCATATTGGTGAGTTTTATTCAAGAAAGCGTTTCCTGAAGTCTCCATAATATAATTTTAAAATGTTTTATTTTATTCCGATACCGTATAAAATTGAGCTGTTACACTTATTTCAACCTATGCCGGCATGATACTCCGGTCAAGTCTTGTTGAATTTTCTTTTATTTTCCACAATTCATAGCGACGAGAACCTGATTCGTAATTGAATAAATGTTTCTTAGATGTCATGTTTTGGATATTTTAGCTATATATATATGTTTGCATAATGTAGAATCCAAATGGCGTACGCATGGCTCAGTGGGATGACGTCGNTCTTAACGCGTTGTTTTATAATTCTAGTTCGAATAAGAGTAATTGGAGTAAAACATGATTTAAAACCGTTGGAAGGAAAGGTCAGTAACATCATTAATAGTACCTGTGAGTTATATTCCAGACGTTGCGAATGTCTACAGCGCATTTAGGCATTACTGTATTTATGAATTAATAAGATAAAATCAAATATTAATTACGTGGGCTTCCTGTGGAARCTCACGTCTAAAAATGCAAGTGACTTTTTTCGTCGTCGTGAATATTACGCTTCAAATTGGTAGCGCCTGCGTTGCAGATGGTCTGCAGTCTCAGAATGAAAACAAAATGGCGGACAGACGGCGGCAAAAAGTTTAAAATGGTTTTAAATCGTTTAAATGGTTCTAGAATGTAGCTAAAATGCTCTAATTAAGAGCTGAGAATATCTTACAAATCAACTGATTACCATCCAAACGACATGGATTGAGGTATATAATTCAAGATTACCGGATGATTCGTGCAGAAATGACTGGGCATTTTCTACCGCCGACTCGAAGAGCACTACTTCGCCAAAATAAGTGTTCGATGTGAATCACAATATCTTCAAAAATAAGAAATCACATGGATATTTAAGGTTCATACTTTGCCGGAGAGAAGTACAATCATTCGATGGACTAAAACATATCAAACCTCATCTGAAAAATGTTGATGCCATTTTCTAAACGATGTGTTTGACTAGTTGAAAACTCACGCACGTGTGAATTACTGAACTCTGTATACAAAATCTATATTGTATATAAAGATCTGTTTTGATGATTGTTTTACTTGAAAAAACAAAGACAAATCCAAAAATATGAACTGTCATTAGAAGGTACACCTGTTTGATGATGGTACAGAGCACCAGATGTGATTATAAATTACAAATTAAAGAAAAACACCAAATAAAAAGAAAAAAACAAGATCTAACATGATTTAAACGATCAAAATATTATTCAAAGTTATACAATACTGATAAAACTGCAAAGACTGTACCGTTTCTATTGCTTATATGACCTTTCAGATATTTTGCATATTTTGAATGATATAGACGCTCTTAGAGCGTAAAGTCGAGCTAGTTATTTTGGAAAACTGAGAAAAGCATGGTATCTAAAGAAGTTACTTAGAGTTCAGTTCGGTAAAAATTTATGATGTTATAAATAACTTATATTAACCTAATTCTGTCTTGACTTATTACAAACAAAGACTGTATCGTGAAAATGAAACACCATTGTCGCAGCTACAGCCCCTACAGCCCACGTAAGCGATCCATGATCGTCTAGTTAATAATCAAGGGGTGGGCTGCCTGTGATTTGTCACTATTTTTGTTGTCTCGCTCTGCTGTTGGCAAAAGTGGATCAATTTTCACCAATAAGTCTCGTTATTTTTCAGGTCAAGCGAGTCTTCATATTGGTGAGTTTTGTTCAAGAAAGGTTTCCTGAAGTCTCCATAATTATAATTTAAAATTATTTTATTCCGGCGATCGATACCGTATAAAATTAAGCTGTTACACTTAGTTCAGCCCATGCCGGCATAATACTCTGGTCACGTTTTGCAATTTTATTTTATTTTCCACAATTAATAGTGAGGACAAGCTGATGCGGATTAATTGGATAAATGTTTCTTAGATGTCATGTTTTGGTTATTTTAGCTATATATATGCTTGCATCATATAGAATCCAAATGGAGTACGCATGGCTGAGTGGGATGACGTCGACTTCAAAAACGGTGAGACATCATAACTGAGTATTACGAAGCTGACATTACGATTGAAACTTTGGTGGACAAATTTTTTAACAATTCAATCACTAGCAGGAACAACAGTTTGACTTGTTGTRTTTTAATTGACTTTAGGTATTGCTAATGTTGAGATGCCTCTTTCCAAACAACCTGTGCTTGGTAAATGGAYCATTGTAGCGAGCTACCRATTRAGTAAGTRTCGCGTATTGTCCTCATTTTACTTAAAGATAGAAWAATACCTAGGGTTGACGTTGAAACGGAAGTTGCAACCAAGCTGAGTCGCTTCAGAAAGAAACGACTTTTTTAAAGAGTAACGTTTCTTACGCCGGCGGTTTCGGCCGACATGGGAGTCAAAGAGTTAATTAAATGCGAAACTACAATGTATAGTTCTTGCATTTTTACTGACAATAACAAGCAACGGTTTTTGTACTGAAAAGTGATTACTACTAAGCTTTGTAAAGTTGATCGTGTCGGATTGCCATTAATCAGTTTCAACCTGTTTTATTTTAGCTGCAAAGCAAACTCCAGGGACTTCTGCTCACACGTACAAGGTTTGTAAACCGAGAAATTTACACACTCTTAGTTTCAACATTTATAATATGTAAATGTGACGCTTCATACCACGTCGGTTTTGAGGAAAACATGCAACTATAATAGAAAGAGAACTACGAGAAGGTATGAGTATGTATAGTGTTACTATGAGTTGTGGACAAAATCTGAGGTATACTATCTTTGGACTCACAAAAAAAAAAGGAAAATTTCGATGGATTTTTTGAAACTCTGAACACTTTAAGGTTGCTTGTGATCTAAACATTGCCAGAAATTTTGGGTTGGGCATGCGCATTTTGCATAACAATGGTGACCATACCACAGCCATATAAAATAACAATGCCACCCCCTAAAAGTCGTAAGATAGCTCTAATGGATTTCGTTCAGTTGGTACGTAAGATCGATGGGAAAATGTAAGCTTTCCTAAATTACAAATCTATAATTTCTCCCAGTTCTACCTCAAATGATAATCGCGAATGCAGTGGCTACATTGTAAACCTAAAGTTAAGTTAAAAAAGTTAAAAAATCTCAAACAAGCAATTTTGGCAAGAATATCCATCCATCTTAGGATCCGCCATCTTGGACAGCCATCTTGGATTTTTTTTTTAAATCACATTTCAAAACTCAACATTGAGGCAAATAGCTCAAAATGTATGGAATACTTCTCAAACTAACCTTTAATGTGAGTTTCGAAGTCGCCATGATACCTCGTAAAAAAAACCCGCATAAATAAAGAACCAAAACTCACCAAAACAATCGCTATGCTGTCATTTTGCTTTTCGAGTTCATTGCATGGTGGGAAGCAATCAGGGAGCCCAAAGCCTTCCTCTTCTTGATTTTTACGTTTGCAGTGGATTTAGAGCTCTTAGGCTTCCTATGGTGAAACATTTCAGTAGAAACTGTTCCTTTTTAGTTGCCAAATTGCTTTATCTTATCATGATATTTCTGTTTTATAATCCTCTATTTAATACGTCTTTTCAAGTCGTGTTTGTATTTTTTTCTTAAAAAATATTAGCATTCTATTCTTTTTGATAAATGTCCAAAGTTTCGGGCAATGCCTGAACGTTTATTGTTTTCTTTAGAACAAACAGGCGGAAAAGATCATTATTGTCAAGAAATATGGTAAAGGGACTGTTCTGTATTATGTTCATAATAAACAATTTCATGTGCTCTCATTTTCCATGTACCCATGAATGTTCTTTAAGTATCTTCGTAGGAACCTTTTGCAAAATTCTGCATCTTTTCAACAATCGGGGTTTGTTTATCTCGCTGACGTTGAGAAGTTCAGAAATCCAGAAACATTGAGTCACGTATTTTAATTTTCGTCTCTTTTGTGGGTAAAACGTCAATACTGCCACGCCCATCGAACCAAGTTCAGGCCCTAAATATAGTTATGTTTTGTTTCATTCACAGAGCTACCAAAATCATTCAAAGTCATAATCGAGCCTCCTTCATTTGTTGCTTTTGACAGCAAACATGTCAGCGGTAGAATATGCGCACGGTAGGTTCAGTCCTAGGTCCATGGATGCTTTTTGTTGTGTCTGTGAACTATCTTTAAACTTCCGGCCTTGCATCACAGTAATTTCTTCCAAAAACTTACACTTTTTCAATTTCGCAAAAAAAGCACTCGGCTGACTTCGTACACTGCGAATTGAGACCGCCATGATTATTTTTTGTTTTATATCACGCTCATCTACAAAAGGGCGCGAATCTGGCGTGTAAGCTACGCTGCCGTCCATGACGGGCTCATACCAGCGGGTAGTTTTTCACGCGCGTGCGCAGACAGAATTCCTCCATGCTGGTCGACCGGGTTTTGTGCACGATGCACATACCTGATCACGTGATGAAAAAACTAATTTACATGAAATCTACATACAAACAATATTCAATACGTCATGGCCGTATTTTTGCAGTCAACCGCACGAAAATACGACAAACAGCCAACTTTTTTTACGGATTTCGTTTTTCAATTTTAAGTACGGAATAAATTTTGATTTGAGATGCTCTTATCATTGCAGCCATTCCACGGCTGCTATAAAAAGCACGCGATCGTATTGGAAAAAAATCTCTAGGCCACCTCAAGTTGCAGAGAAAAAGGCAGGAGGAACACAATAGTATTATAAATATTTTATTTTACTACGAGGCTTTTATTCGTAAATGTAACTAGCATGTGAACCACTTTACCGTGCTTTCTTATCATAATTTTACTGGAAACTTGTAATCCCCATGAGTCCCCGTACAAATTTAACTTGAGTATCAGACCTTTAAGGCAGAGACTTATATTGGTATGAAGGCGCTTACGGCACAGACAACGTACTTCACGAGATCTCCTTCTTTGAAGTGATTCTAAAAAACATTCAGAAAAAGTTCAGACCTCAGCACAAGACTTGCTCTTTCGAAATACAAAAATATATTACTTTGAAGCAAATTAAAAAAGATCACATTCGTACTCAGTCGATCCCCATTCACTAAAATGTCTAAGCGAGATATAAAACAAAAATGTGTGTAAGTTTGCTATTTTTAAAGAGGCTCGCAAAAAAAGGCCTGGGCTCGCAGGCTCGCACATTAGTTGCACTCCTCATGAAATTATCATTTTGATCTAGGTATAACCATGGCCAACCAGTCATTGGAGATCTGAAAGCTGTGATTGCCACCGWAGTGAAGGTGATATTTTCAAAACAACAGGAAAAATTCTGATTGACACGTAATCAAACACCGAAAATCAATGAATCTATACCAACCAAACAACCAAACAAGAACAAATAACGTAGAATAATAAAACAATCCATTAAAACAATCAAACAACTAATCAACCTGACAACCAGGCAACGAAAGAAAAAGGCAGTCGAAAATAAACACAAGTACAACATGTACAAATGCATAAAAATGACACGAAAACAATCTCGCAGAACTGCGTCAAAAACTTTTCAATTTCGTGACTGTGTATTTATTCATATTTGTTTGTTTTACGAAATACCCGGTCAAGAATTCGACATGTCCTACCTTTCCGCCTCCAGAAGAATGCCCAGATGTACCAGAAGACAGTTGTTCATTGGATTCACATTGTTTAGATCCGAGATTTTACTATGACCAGTCCAAGTGCTGTAATGATGGATGCAAAAGGCGATGCGTTCGTAAGTTCATTGTTCGCTTTTCAGTCTAATTACCGCACATATTCTCATGTATTGTTGTTGTGAAGGTGTAATATCCTTCCTGAACTTTTATATAATAAATAACTGTTATGTTTACTATAACTTTTGTCTTGTTCTTCGTTTTTGTGCTGTAAAAAAATCGGAAAACAAAATTTTCCTAATTTGTTTGAAACTGCCAAAGAGAGTCGCCAATTCAGTGGATTCTCCTAGAATGTCCAGCGTCAGCAGAACGCTCACAATTATTCGAGAAGACGTCATTGCAGTCACTGGTCTTGAGATTGATGATTTTATAATTATTTTTGAGATTTTTGTTACTGCTTGTCTACATGTTTGCTAATAACAACCGACTAAACAAAATTACTCAGCTTTAGCTGCGACTGAGGATATCACAGAACGCTTGAAGATCTACGCCTCAAAAACCATATCAACCAAGGTACGCATACCTTTTAATATTATTGTATTCTGTAGTTAAGAAATATAAAACGGCGCGCGTGTCCCTGTCCTCTGATATAAACACTGTGGGAGTTCGAAAAACACGAGAGAATCAAGCTTAGGAACACGAGCGTAGCGAGTGTTTCTCTTGCTTCTCGAGTGTCTTTCAACTCCCATCGTGTTTATATCAGAGGACAGCGGACATAAGCGGCCGTTTTATATTTCTTTTATAAAATTTTTCGAGCGAAAAGAAAATTTTGCCGGTAAGCCGTGTCTCTGTCCTCTGATATAAACACGGTCGTCAGGCAATCAGAGCGCGTGTTATATATCAAAAATTTTATAATAATTCCTAAACTAGTGTTTATAACTATAACAAGTATCCTCGCGGGAATCTTAAATTTTGATGTCATTCAAAAGAATTTTTCTTGAGAATGGAAATCCTCGATGAACTTCTTCTTCCGTTGCATAGGCAACCCAACTATTGCTGGAGAGACTTGCATGCCTTTTATTTAATTTTTTTTATGTTTCGTTTACGGAAATATGGCGAAGAAAAGGAGACGCTTTTATATTTGATTGAGTCCTCAGTGAAATGCGGATATCCTGGTTATTTCTCAGCCAGCTGTAATTCACAGGTGGTTGCCAGCGAGAAATTCAGAAAAAAAGAACTTTTCAGGCAAGGAATACTTTCTAAGATTTTTTTCCAAGAAAATAAAAATTTCCTTACTACAAAAATATATCTTTTGATGACCATAAAAACGTTATACAAGCCTTTTTTGACTTTGAAAACGTTTGCAAGGAGCAAAATTCACATTATTTCTTGTGAGAAGTAGCTGTCAAAAACACTTTCCCAGGAAAATATTCGTACAAAAACAGTTATTTAGATGAACAGACCAGTCAGTTCTTCCTTTATATTCTAATCATATATAACTAAATATGTATTTCAGATTAAAGGCTGTGTTCAATTCTCATTCAGTAGCGAAGATCTTGGCCTGACTTCTATTGTGACCAACAGCGTCTATCGTAGTGCAATTGACGTCTGCACAATTGCATTGACTGCCAATGTTATTGAGGACGTCACTGGGATAACAAAGTCTGAACGCACAGAAACCAAAATAGTCACGTATAGTTTAAAATTTTATGATTTTATTCGAGACACAACGAGGTTTTTCTGGCCTGGTTTACCATTCACTGGTGTGGTAAGTCTGCCATGGAATGTTACAGTTTTTACATCGTACTCGAATTTACAGTTTTGAAAACGATGAGCACTCTCTTATACCAAAATCACTAAAATCCCCAAATAGTTGTAAATAGCGGAATATAGTTGAGATCACTATTCTTGTACATTTTAGGCCTACTTAGTTTTTCATGGTTTTAGTTTTTTCACTGTATTCTTTAACTTTGTTGTTAACAGTTGTCAGTGACTACGAGTGATGGAAAGCCCGCGAACAATGTGAAAGTCAGCATCACAGCTCGTACAAATGATGATGTTGAAATCTTTGAGAAGCAATACACAGTTTACGATGGAATCATTCACTATGAAATACCTAAGATACCCTCTAATGTCACAACTCTCATTATCGAGGTAAAGTCATTGAAATTATGTGCAAATTTAACTAAACAATTTGGAGACTAATTTCTAATAAATGCGCTATCATCAGCCTGTGAAAAAGCAATCGGAGAGCGGTCATCATGTGTACACGGATCGGACAGAAATTGTGTGCTCAGAAACCATGGTTTGTTTTCCGTCCTTCAACCCCTATCTCCCAGTTTATCGAGTCATGTTTTTTTGTTTGTTTGTCTTTTTTATTTTCCTATAAATCGTTTTTATAAAATGGATTCTCATGCTCTCCATGCACTATAGGCTTCACATCATAAATTCAAAGAATTTCTTCGTGAGTATCTTCCATTGTGGACAGTATGGCCGCCGCAAATCATCTCCATACCCAAGCTTTCTAGGAGTTCAAGTTTCTTTTCAATAAAAAGAGGGTTGAAGACAATCAAGGTTTGACTTTATTAGTATCTTGTGTGAATTCTCGTGTTCTGATTGGCATTAGTGTGTGTTACGGTAGTTATTTACTCGGGTTTCTGCCGACTTTCGAGATGGACTAGATTGGCTGTAGCCGACTCGAATAGCGAGGGCCCGTAATCTGAATTTTACCCTACGAGACGGCACGAGACTTGGAGACAGAGCACGGTGTAAACTTCGACTTAAATCTTGCTTTAATCTTGAATAACAGTTCTCTAGCACACGGCTATTACAGTCTCTAAATTACAATAAAGCTTGGTTCGATTTATACTAAGATCCTTCGTAAAATATAAATTAGCTTAATTATTAACTAATGCATGCTGTTTGTTAGCCCATAGTTATTAACTATGGTTAGCCTAAACAATCATAAATTAACGACGCGTAAAACTTAACATAAAATCTCATCAATTTGTCTCATTGATACGACATAATGTCCTAAGATGAGAACACTTTGGCTGGAACCATAACGTTAAGTAAAGCGTCAAACTGGTGGTACAAGTAACAGGCTAGTAACGAGGTATATTTTTTTTGCTGTTGATCCAGATCAAAGGGCTAAAAACGTGATCCCGATCCCAAAACTCCGTACATTTTGATCCCTGATCCTCTTACAGAATCGTCGAAAAAAATCATGGATCCCAATCCGAGTTGAAAAACCTTTGATCCCAGGTTAAATCCATTTGATCCGTACCCTAAGCCTAAATCCTGATCGCTGATCCCAAAATAGTCCAAAAATTGACGCTGATCCCTGATCCCAAGAACTCGTTACCTCGTTAAAGTAACTTTTAGCACTTTGCAGTTCCTGGAGCGTCGCGCTTGTTTCAAGATAGTTGACGCTACTAAATTATAGATAACTTGCATACTAACATACTAATGGTCTATCACTCATACTGCGCTGTGATTGGCTACTCTACTAATGGTCTAATTTGTGATAGACCACTCGCGGGAAAATCAAAATGGCGGCATCTCATTAATAAATTATTTTAAGGATATTTCAAATTTTTTTTTCATCATTTGGCCGATAAGTATGTTTATACTAAAACAATTAGACCTCTCGGCCTCTTGGACTACGAGCTAAAATAGCCCATTCGGCCTCTCGGACTCGGCTTCATGGGCTATTAGCTCGTAGTCCACTCGACCTCGAGGTCTAATTGTTAAATAGGTAACTTATACAAAAAAACTCTAACTTACCCCGCTAAATTTATACAACAAATTATCAATTCGTTTTCCTAATAATTTTTTTCAATTTTTCTTCGTTACATGTGCCAATAACAGCACATACACAATTGTGCTGACACCATCACGTCTTGCGAACGCGCTCAATTGAAGAAAATGAATTTGTTGAAGTTTATATTTTATTAGTTGAACACGGTTTTGAATTGTATGTCCTCTTATTGACACGCTATTGACACTTTTCTGATTTGACTTTATTACCATCTTTTAACATACTTGTGTGAATTCTCGCGTTCTGATTGGCTGATTAGTGTGTGCCAAGCAGTACATACACACTGTACTGATACCATCACAAATAATAATTGTAATAGTTTGCGTGCTAAATTGAACACAGTTTTGAGTTGTATGTCCTCTTATTGACACAATATTGACGTCGTACGTTGTTGAAGATTTTGCAGTGAGCTCAACAGCGCAGTGAGTTCAGTTGAACATTTTAAGACGTCAACCGGTGTGTCAATAAGAGGACATACAATTCAAAAATGCACGAAATTTGCTAAGTATGCATATTGATATATTTCTAGTTTTAAACAATTTTGAATGCAAACGATGTTAATGCTATTATTTCAGGCTGGAGAAACTGCTAAAATAGATTTGATGCTCACTGTGAGCGGAGATGAAGAAAATAATGACTTTGTATACCAAGTAAGTCAGTTTAAGTAATTAAAAAATTTTAAAAATTTGGCGAGTGACTAAATTTCCCTGTTTTGAAAAATCGCCAAATTTAACACATGTGAACTTCTTTCAAAGTTGCAAAATTTAATAGTATTTGACATTTATCCAGTAGAATGCCATACTTTGTAAGTTGTTGTGTTTGCTATTGCTTAGTGCAAAGGATTAGAACATTTTGCAAAATTTAATTAACTTAACTGACTTTATTTCGTCTCAAAATCGGCAAGGTATTTGTTCATTCGTGCAAGATGGACGCGATTTCGTGTTTGAACTTTTATGTTCCTGATGGAAACGGCACAGTGCTAGTCTCAACTTGGAAAAGGCTATTGTAAGAACGACATTTTCTCGTCCTTTCTTTAGTTTACTATAAGATCTTTGCACAAGACAATCTGTTGTCAAATAAAGATTGTTTGCTTTGAATTCGAGAATGGAGTATTTGTCAACACGACTTTATTCCGTTGTACTATGCTATTTATTTATGCTCGTCCCCTTGAGACGTATGCTCTTGATATAGACGCTAGGCAAATAACAATTGACGTCACGCCGAACGACTGAGAGTAGACTGCTGAGGACGAAGTTACTCTTTATTGATATATTAAAATTCCCTTTTTTTAGCTGATGTGTGCAGGCCAAATACATGCTTCTGGTAAAACTCGCCTATCTTCTTTCAAACGCACCAGCCATACAACTGCCGAAGGATCTCTGGAGTTTTCATTGCCACAGACATTACCAGTGTCGTCTTGCCGATTGCTGGTGTATTACGTGAGGAAAGATGGTGAAGTTGTACCTGACTCTATAAGCCTCAAAGTTCAAGGAAAACTAAGAAACCAGGTTAGTCTTCCTCTATGAAMTGAAAAAAGTTATCAGCTGTAGGTACCCCTTGGCGCTACTTACCCTGGTAGGCGCGCATCTTTACATTCTTGCTAATTTTGTTAGTGTTTCTTTGTTAAYAATGGTTTCCTGTTCTTTAGGTTGTAGTAMGWTTTAACAACAAACATCGTRARCCAGGAGAAARGGTTCAAATCACATTAAAAGCCGCCCCAGGATCCACSGTGGTGTTGAGTGCTATTGATAAATTAAGACAAGAAACTGAGGATATCACTGTAGACAAGGTAAACCTGGCTTGAATTGATTTTTTTCTGCTTCAGTAAGTGAACTGTCACAAATATTATCRCATGCCTATTTTTGATGTTTGARATCTATCAACAGCAAATACATTTATTTTTAAGGTGTTTGGCTTTCGTGAGACACTGGACGTTGGCCCGGCCAGGAAGTCGTTGAGATKGGACACAAAAATTAAGGAGGCATCCAACACTTTTTATGTAAGAATAAAATCCGTTCAACACTGCGAAATAAAAAGCAACATGGTGTTGGACTATTGTTAGAGAGATACTGTGTTTGAATGAGACATTGAAGATGGAACTGGACGCCAGGATATCTTTCAAATGTTTGGAGCATAAATTGCAGAGTGYAACGGGGCACAAATTGTCCATACATTATTTCCAGCGAAACGCTGTTAAACAATGCAGGGTGGYTAATTCTGATTGTCGATTCTGATTGGCTGACGAAGCGTGAAACGTTTTTTTAATCGTACAATCAATTAATACCACGTRAGCTACACGAATCAATCCCAGAAATCTTTGCGAATGATGTGTTGACCCTATATGTGTATAGAATCGAATATTATTCATGCAGGTATGATATTCTATGGAAACTACGCCTTTGTTCTAGAAGAATGTTAATGAAAATACCGCTGGTATTTGATGAAAGTGAGCTAGTACCACCTGTGATTCTTCTCGAACGTTGGTATTTCCTGTAGACCTAGTAGATTTCTAAAATAATTAAACTTATTATTATTTTCAGGATGCTGGTTTTGTGTATTTGTCTGATTCACCGACTTTCGCTGTTCCTGGTAAGTGTCTAKAAACCTCTAAGCTRACAAATTGTACAGTTTATTAATATATRGTGAACCAAACCTCATTACAGGGGGGTCGGTGGTGGACAAGGGGATTTCGAATAYATGGAGTAGGTGGGGGAGACGATTTCGACGACAAGCTCCAGGAAATCATCAACCTGCAGGATTGCAAAAGCACTTGAAAACATCCAACCATCAACAGGACCAAGCACCTGAAACATGGCTGTGGACAGAGGAAACTGTAAGGTGGGAATTGGTGTTATAGATAATAATAATAATAACTGTAGAAATCAAAAAGATTGAGCTTCCTTTGTCATGATGGCCAAATAGTAATGGCCCTCAGAGAGCTTAGATCAAAATTTGCTTGTGTGAAGTTTTCTGTCTTAAAGTGTTTTGTCAGATTCGTACTCTGGAATATTGGGTTATTTGACGAATCAGTCAACAAACGT